GGGGGGGGGTGAGCATATATATCTATTTGCATACAGAGGAAGCTGTCTTGTTCATGAATTTGTTGAGTTTTCATTGCGCCGTGGTTCGGGAATAAAGGCCAGGTTTATCAGAGACAAGGCGCGATTTGTCAAAGAGATGCGAGTGCATTGTCAAGAACATGCGCCTGAATTTTCAATTCACATGTGCAGGTTTTGTTTAGGGTTGAGGGTATAGAGTTTAGGGACTCCGTTGCGCATGTCTGAACAAATCTTTCCATGTACCTGAAAAGCACCCTGCCTTGTGCATGATAATCCCGAGCTGTTCTCGATGAAACCGGCGTAAGTGCTTGATAACGCCGTAGCATGTGTTGAACCATGGCGCCTCAAAAAACCATCATCCTGCATACATACATGCATGCATTTCTGCACAAATCACAACGATGCAAATGCCTACATGCATGTACGCAAGCAAGCAAGTAACGTATGGGTGTATGCATGTACGAATGAATGAACGTACATGTGTATGCATGCACGTATGCACGCCTGTGTGTATGCAGGTATGTATGTACGTATGCACGCACGTACGTACGGGCGTACGTATGTATGTGCTTATACGTATGTATGTATGTATGTATGTATGTATGTACGTATGTATGTATGTACGTATGTATGTTTGTATGTATTTACGTGCTTTTTACCTTTGAATAAATGAATAAACTGATATATAAGTTAAATGAATAACCAAACACATGAATAGGTATACCCACACATATATATATATATACACACATACATACACATACATACATACATACATACATGCATACATACAATACATGTTTACAAACAACTTATATAAACCACTCAGCTCTCAATTCCCCTGCTGCGCGGCCCCTCGGGAGCCCCACGCCAGCCGCCTGCCAAAAGCAGCCGCCGCCGGGAGCTCGGTGCGAAGCCGGCAAGGAGTGCCGAAGAGCCTTGCTGCGTGGGTCGGCAAACGCTGGGAGAGTGTACCGGGAGGCTGGAGGAAATCGACTCGGTGGCTTAGTCTGTCGGTATAGGCGGATACACTTCTTGCTGTGGTATGGGACATCCATGCTTTAGAAGGGAGCGATTGCTTATGGCAAAGGACGCAGGCCTCAGAAGACAAGAACGAGCACAGCCTTGGTTTCAACTCAGTAGGTGGAAACAATGTTGTGAGTCGTGATAGACTACTGTAATTAGTGGGTTTGTGGTGCCTGCGCAGCAAGATGGGAAATAGACTCGATGTTGATTTCGGGCTCGGTGTGCTCACACACCCAGCTCTGCCATCAACGCCAGACCCTGTTTGGCAACCGGAAAGAGTCTTGCCACCCTGCAGGGCATGAGTCGTATCGTCGTTTTTGAAGTCACCATGCGCATCTGCTGCACTTCGGCGATCTCTGAGGGCAAAGCCTCCCGTGGCATCAGTTCAACGCAAAGGTCATGAGCGCCGATTCGTACACGATGGTGCTGAGATGGCATCAGATTCCTGCACAGCCTTCACCAACCCGGCATTGCTAAGGCTTCGACCCAGCTGACAGAAATAGCGGGTGGGACATGACCGTGACCATGACTCATATATCAACTCGATCATAAAGGATTCCCAACGGCACCGCTAAATCTCAGGATGGGATTTGGAGATGTGCCGATCTTTGCGGCCCTCATCTACCTCCATATGCATTCCTACGAAATGGCAGTTTTTGTACGGTGATATGTAAGGTGGATAGCATGGTGCACTTCCATGCACTCCAGGAGTGCGTATTGCAGTGCGGCCATCCCGTCATTGCGTAGTGGAGTTTCTTGTAGTAGAGTTGTTGATGCCTTTTTACGGCCATGGTATCGCATGCTCTGTGGGCGAGAAAGCCTACCCGGCCTTTGACCGATCTGCAGCTCGGCATGATCTGAGCAATGCGATTGAGGTTACAAGAATTCAAGTTTCGAGTGGTAGTAGTAACTTTTAACAGTATACAATCTATACTATACCGTATACATGATAGATGCGACGCACGCAGAGTATTTCAAGTAACAGCCGTAGGAGTAGTGGAAGAGTCTTTAGAGCAAGAGGAATTAGTAATAGGAGTGTCATGGCAGTAGTGCAAGTAGTACGAGTGCGAGTACTAGTGCTAGTACTAGTATGAGCAGTCGCAGAAGTTAGTGGCATTGGAGTGGGAATGGTGGTGGTGGTGGTAGTCGTCGAAGAGTCATTAGTCGTCTTGCCAGGTTTTGAGTGTGTTTTGAGGTTGCAGATCGATTCAGTCCTTACAGTGTAGCAGGTTCTCGAACGGGTGGGTCCGATTGAGCTGCAGGTAAGGTCCGTCTCAGGCATGTCCAAACCCAAACGGACCCAAAACGATACCCCGATCGCTCGAACGGATCCAACGTGGATCTGAAATAGTGTCTTGCTTAATAGATCTTAATGGGGCTATCAGCAGCCAGATACCTTTTCATAGCGAAACAAAGATGGAGTGTGAGAGTGCGACAACAGTGATAGTTTCGGCAGCAGTGAGAAGCAGAGGAACACGACGAGTCTTGAGTTTTGATGCTCATGCAATATGATAAGGATGGCAATGGTGATGATCATGACACTGGCTAGTGAGTAGCAGCCGCACGCGTGGCAATTGCAGTGTTGTCCCTTATTGCAGCATCTGTCACCCCGCCCATCCGTTCCCTCACCATGTCCTCGCAAAAAGGACGGAATCGGCCGATGGAGCCGCTTGGACAAGCTTCGATGGGAAGAAGAATGATGACAATGTAGTCAACAGTGGTGCCGGCAATGAAGATGATGCTGCGTCGCATCAATACCCGAAAGCCAAACTCCTCTCTTTCAAGAGCATTCTAATGCCTTTCAGCACCAAGTCTTGTCAACATTGGTATGCGTTCCATTTTGGTGTGGTTAGTCACCTGACAGCAAACCGATCTAGGATTCCCTGCCAGGCCCTGCCATTGTCAAGCGATTAATCTTGTGCAAGCCAACGAATCCATCACTGTATGACGACGACAATTGGTCGCCCCCTGACTATTTTTCGATGAAACATGTGTGTCATGGATAAGTTGAGTCGGACCTTGACAAAATCTTTTCACCTTGTGCGTGGTATTGCATCTGATGTCCTCCCTCCCTGCCCCATCGTTTAGGACTGAAGTTTCGCTCAGGCGTCGGTCCTCTCCTCTCCATGTCTCTATTGATGCCCGCCGCTACCTGCAGGGTGATCCCCCACTAGATGTGCAATGCCCTGGGTCGGATGAGCGAAATGACTAGACATGAGCAAAAGCAGGGGTGCCCCCCATCCAAACCCATCAAGATCATAATGCAAAGCTGCCAATGTGTTTCCGAATGTGATTTGACAACGTGCAGCAGCTTAAGCACGGAAAGTCTGCGCTCATGGAAAGCCGATTTTCTTGAAACTCCAAATCCACATCGGTAGAACCGTCAGACGTGTGGTCCCGCCACCTTCAACCCTCTTTGGGTAAACTCGCCGCCACTCCATCTCTTGATTAAGCCTGAGCCTGTTGCGCCTGTTCCCGGAGGGAGTGCGGAGTTCGGATGTGCTTCAAATCGCATCCATGTGGGATGATTGGTCCAGGAGCATCGTCCACCCAGTCCTCTCTTGCTCAGGTGTGGCCTGCATGAAATGTTGGTTGCCAAAGCTTCGCCGTTACTTACATCCTGCTTGGATGGTTCGGGGGTGATGAGATTGCTACTGTACTACCCCCAATGTCCTGCATTCTCTTGCATCCCTCTATGCTTGTATAGAAGAGGCCGGGGCCCGTGTTTGCCCTGCTGGCTGGCGCTCCCTCCGTCAAGCACATGTTCCCAAAGCTAAAGGTGTCCGTGCCGTAGTAACATCTTCCCTACCCGCCCGGCAAGCCACCTGAAAATGTGAGTGATTGATCATCTCGTGCATTTCTGTGCTCAACATACGGTGGAGTCAGTGATCCGGCTTCGTATGTTGCCCAAGCCAGCATTGAAGCCAGCCCGAAGCTGAGAAGAATTTTCCGAAGGACTCACGAGCAGATGCTTTCCAGGCGACATTTGGGTTTTCGGGTAGGGTGTTTCCCCCTAGTATTCTCGCTGACCTTCAGAGATGCGAAACTTCGTTGGCACAGGGGGGTGCTTTTCACACCTTGTCTTACTTCTCGCCGAGGAGGGGGCAGGAGCTACACCTGCTCGTGCGACCCCAGCTTCTGCGAGAGGCGTGGAGATATGTTGAGATGCAGGAACCGGGTCACCATCACGAAGTCAGATTTTCTCATCGCTTCATGAAGTGTGCTCATGCGGCATGCGGCTCTGCCAGAGCCCGCACAAGTGCAAAGGTCGGACAGGGCCTGGCCGCTGGAGCAGCTTGCGGCCCGCCTCCCGCTCGATGCACCTGGCACGCAATTCAAAGGCGACAGGAACCGTTGGAATTAGCCGCTATCCGGGAATGGATTCGTGGGAGTGATGTGGAGGCATCATCTTGAGCAGTATCAGAGATCGTCCTTTTTCTCCGCCGCCGGCAGAACGAAGCCACTTGCCTGGCTTGTGACTCTGCATCAAACGTCCGCAGAGCAGACGGGAAGTAACCAGACTCGACTTGTGAAGAAAGCATGTTAAGAAAGATGTGTTGCATGAAGCGTCGAGGATTCGATTATCACCACCAGACAAGTACTGATTAGTCGACCGGATCTTTGTAAAAGACAGCATAGGGTAATCATTGAAATCCCTGGAAATTGAGCCCCTCGAGTCTGTGAACTATCAAGATGTAGCCTGCACACCTTGCAGGCCCTCATACCTTGCAGTATTGAATTAGATGACATTATGTGGCGATGAGGCTGAAGATGATGAAGAACAAGATGAGAATCATGATGATGGTGCCAGTGATGATGAGGTGGTGGAAGCGAAGGAGAAGTTGGTTTTTGGAGCTCTGTGTTGTTGGGTCGGTTTAAGGTGCCCATGGGTTATGATAGGGTTACTAAAGGGTTACTCTGATAGGGCATTTACATGGTTACTATATGTTACTATAGAGTTACACTGGGACTATTACAAAGTCAATGCATGCGGAGCCACGAAGTGGGCCATGCTCGAGAGCAAGCCTCCGTGTGGTGGTATGGGACTTTCCGAGAATTAGGGTACCTTATTTTGGGGTCCTTATAATAAGGAACCGATTATTTAGGGTACTATATTAGGGTCCGCTATTTTTGGAAACCCCCGTATTGACAGCCCAGGTATGAGTCGGCACTTCATACGCAGGAACCCAGGACCGTGGTGCACTGGGGCAAAGGGTTGTCGAGGCCGTAGCTAGGGTTTACCACGTGGCACAATGCAGTCCTCCATTTGGGGCTCTCTTCACGGCGCCATGCAAGAGCCCCTTCATGACTCCTTTACCCACATCATTCTGCAAACACACTTGGGAGCACACCCGGTCTTGATGATCCGCAGGCTGCCAGGGTTGATGAACCTGGACAACGTCATCCAGCTCCCTTGATGCAATCTGGACAGTGATGCTCGTCGTATCCACCGTTGGGGACTTGCAGCGAACCCTGCATTCTACACCGGAGACTCCGCATCCTGTCACGAGGTGCCTGCAGAGGGACGAGCGGCGCCAGGCTTTGACGCATCGTCCTCGGAGCAAAAAGCTTTCGAGGTTTGAGGTACTTACTGCGGGAGACGTGAGCAGCCGCGAAACCTGAGTTCTGAATCTACCTGCAGTTGAGAAACTCGTTCTTTGCAGATGCACGCTCGATAGGTGAGTCCTCGAACGACATGTGATCTACGGACCTCGTATTCAGAACCGCCCAGTGCCCCAGTAACAATCTGCTGTGACAATCACAGATGCAATGAGACGACAAAATACACCAACTTCAAAACCTGTACTCTCAGTGTCCCAACACACAGACTTCTAGGCATCGTCAGCCCTACCCAAAGCCTCGCCACAGGTCCCGCTCAGCGCATCGGCCAAAGGTGCCGCTGCTCCTTGGATTGCTTTGCCCAGATGTGTCGATTTTGATGCCGATGTCTTTGGGGCTTGTACGTCATGCTGGCGGATGTCGCGGCATGATTCAGCCCTTTCCGCTACAGTCATGATGAAGCTTTGAGACAGAAGTTGCCCGGGTCAAAGTGAGAGCCGTGGAGGTAGTGGTAGAGGTCTACGAAGCCCCATAGCGCCAAGCCCGACCGAACCACCTCTAAGTCCCAAGATCACTACAGAACCCTCTGTGCTCTTGGAGTCCGAGGCCGACGAGTCCTCAGCAGCCGGGCAGCAAAGCTTTGGATCTCTCGAGTCCCGAGGTTCCAGGGGATGCCTTCAGTCCGCGAGCATCCCGAGCAAGGGAGGTGGGAGTTTCCGAAAATAGGGGGTACCTTATTTTGAGGTCCTTACAATAAAGATCCTACTATTTAGGGTACTATTTTGTGATAGCTGTAACATGCCAAAGGAGGCAAGACAGGAAGGGCAGCAGCAAGGAGACAGAACAGCTTGGAGAAGGGGCAAGTTCCGGTCCGCACGGTTTCGGTTGAAGAGAACTGCATGCAGCAGGGCTCGAATTACGATCTATTGACTTGCTCGTCCTTCTCTTCTTCGGATACGAGGATGTCATTGAGTTTCGCGCACGACTTGCAACCACGATTCAGTGACTTAGGCACAAGAAGTACTGCTTTGAGTTGACGGGCGCCCCTCCACCGGGACCGTCGGGTGCTCAAAGACACAGCCATCGGTGTTGAAAACCCCAAAGCCGAAACCCCGGGAGTGGCATGCAGTGCAGGCCGGAGGGCGAAGCGGCGCCAGGAGCAGCGACCTCGGCACCGGGCGATCAGCAAAAGTGAGCAGAAGAAGAAGGTTCCGAGTGATAATTCAAATGCTAGATATAGAAAGAATGGAAATGCATATAAGGGAGCATAGGAAGCGTCATGGTCAGACACACGGATTGTCTTGGCCAAAGCTATGGCATGTCGTTGGATCTGCACGCCTCTGGGAAAGTCGCGCTCCGAGCGGTTAGCTCAGGAACCAAAGCACAGCGTCGAGACTTTGCAGACGGTGTTCCAGCGTTTGGCAGAGCCTGGCCCTGAGGGAATACACCGTGGAATGTACGAGCTCTGCCTTGCATTCTGTGAGGCCTTCCTCCATCCCGCATCGGAAGTTCCTGGCTGCCATCTTCACGGACAAGGCTCGCGGTTTTCATTGCGCAAGAGTTCCTGCCTGAAATTTCTTCCTGTGTGTATCGAAGGAGCTCTCCGGGGTCCTCCAGAGGTCAGCGCCCAAGGGATCTCTGTCTTCGACGAGGGAGCGCTCCGCGCTTGAGTGGTGAGTGGTGAGGTTCACAGCGGGCTTGCACCTGCCCGAGATGAAGGATGAGACAGCGCATCGAAGAGCTGTGCGGAAGGCACGAAAAAAGTGTCAGCCGCCAGCCTCCACGGTGCATCACCACTTTAACGTCCGAACCGCCCAAGTCGCTGTCCCTGTCTTTTCTTTCGAACAGGCCCTTGTTCAGAAGATCTTGAAGATCTTGAAGGAAGCTGACAAGGACTGCCCAAAAACGTGGCGCAGTTGCAAGGCGGTGTGTGCAGTCTGAGAGACTCGTTGAAGTCGCCGCTACAAAAGCTCCACGTCCCGCGCTGTCATCTCGAGATGCGGATTGCCTTCCGGTAGGCACGTCGTAGCAGACCAGTGCTTTCCAAGTGCCCTCCATGTCTCGAAGACGCCATTGCCATACTGGTAGCAGAATGCGTAGCAAACAAGGAAGGAATACCATTCCCGCAGGGTCCCGTCCAGTTGGCAACGCTCAGGTCTTGCTTTCGATTGCCCTGTGTCATTTGGCGAACGTTGCAGCGTGACCGTTGCCGTGCGTTCTAATTACCAAGCTCCGCATGCAGGACAACAGTGGAAGCACCGAGTGGGATGAGTTCCTGGAGTTCTTCCGCGAAGCGGAGCCACTCCTGCGACATTTGGCCAGTTGTATCTGGCTGCTTCAGTCGTGTGTAAAAGTTAAAAAGCCTTAAACAGGAACAAGAAGAGTATCCACATTGGATGAACATGGTGGTCACAGCATCGTAAAGATAAAGATGGTCGAAAGGACTGTGGGCTGTGTAGCTTCCGACAGTCGGCCTTGCTGCCCCATCGCTGTCGCCCGATTCTTTTCAAGCACTTCGCCCCGCAATCGGTTCGAAATCAACTCCATATCATTTCCAAGCTTTAGACATCGACCATGTGCCTGAGCCAGGCCCAGGTAGTGTAACATAGAGAACATGACGTACTGCGCCATGCAATACCATACTGTACCAGAGCACCTGAAGTCGGGAAAGGGCTCATCTCCCACCATGAAAGGATCAGGTTATCAGGGTCCGAGCGGCTGCTTGGCGCAAAAATACCGGAGCCCATCTGACAATGAGCTGATGACGACGATGACCATGGACCATGCCGATCCTAAACCCCAAAACCCTAAACCAGTAGTCTCCTACTGCTTCGTTATCCTTTCTCTCCGACGACGAGACTCGTCCCATGGACTGGGCCAGGTGTTTGCTGGAATACCAGTCCGAGTTTGCGAAGGGACGAAACCGCTCTGTGCTTTTGCCCCGGCTTTGGGTCCAAAGCTTGGGGTTTTCTGGGTTCTCTATGGGATTTTTGATTGGTGACAGGCCACTCTTGAGTCAAGCTGTAGGCAGAACTTCATGTCGTGTGCAGCGGAGTCGGGAGCTGCGAGTTCTGAGGCTCCACGATGAAGTCGACGCCATGAGGATGAGGAGCCGGCTCCTGGGGAGATCTTGCAGTAGACTAGAAGTCACTGGCACTGTTCACAGCCCAGTGGGCCCATGGTGGCACATGGTGGTGCATGCAGGCACCGGTGCATTAAATCGGTCTGAGCTGACAGTGTGGAGCATTGTTCTGCGTAGCAGTGTCCCACAGCTTTAACCCTGAGCCCCATTCCAAGTAGGGGTTTCCGAAAATAGGCGACCCTAATATGGTACCCTAAATAATAGGATCCTTATTTTCAGGACCCCAAAATAAGGTACCCTAATGTTCGGAAACTCCCAAGTCGCCGGCCAGGAAGGCTTTCACTGAAGGCCATGCCTCGCCACAGGCGAAGGACACATCGAAGGTGGCTCGGGAGAAGCTTCGGTCTTTGAGGTTATGGACAGTTTTCTAAATTAGGGTCCCTTTTAGGGTCCTTTTTGTAAGGGTGCCGTATTATATTGGGGACCCTAAAAGGGATTGTAATTTAGAGAACTACCCTTATAGGGTCTAAACAGGGTTCATTGTCCGGCTTCCGAGGAGGGTTATTGTTCTCTAAGGCTCTAAGGTTCAGAGGGTTTGAAGATTACGGGTTTGGGGTTTGGGTTGAAGCTGTTGAGGAGTTGGGGGTTCTGGATGTCTTTGGGTTGAGGATTTTTTGGTTGCAGTTTCGGGTGTGGGATCTCCGGGTCTATTTGGGTGGTTGTCAACATTATGGTCCCTTGTTGGGTCCTTATATGTCCTTATTATACTACGGCACCTATTATTTACGGTACCCCCAAAGGGACCATAATTTTGACAACTACCCATTTATATTTGTCAGATCTTCAGAGGTTGCATCAGCGCCCCGGGATCTACTGAGTTTCGGGCATTTCGATGGGGGGTACGCAGATCTGCTATAGTTGCTGCTCCATCACGCGTGCATCTGGAGCTAGCTTTCTCGGCGGTTATCGCGGTTCAGCAATTCGATCCTAAACCTTACACCCTAAATCCTAAAGCCTAAAGCCTAAACCCTAAACCCTAAGCCCTGAAACCCTGAAGCCCTAAACCCTAAATCCCGACGTCAGGCCCAGGCGCGCGATTTTCTCATTCCTGGAAGTAACACTCAGCCAAGATCTAGACACGACCAACCCTTGATGCAAATGTCCGCCACTTGATCTGTCACTGCTGAACTCTGCAGAATAGTAACAATAATGATGATAAACATAATACTCGTAGTGACAGTCATTTGCAACAGTAGTCAAAATCTTCGATTTCAGAGTTGTAGCAATAATAGTCATGATTTTGTTAGGAAGAACAATAAGGCGTTTGTTCCGGAGTTTGTGCAAGCGGCAGGAGGACATCCACTCGCGAGCGGCTGGCATCGGTAGGCGAGCCAGCTTTCGCCTGGCACCCTAATCGGCGTCGTCTCATGTTATAGCAACATTGCTTTGTGCAGATATTTGGAATTATGATTATGGCAAGATAATATATCAGCATTATACTATAGTGATCCTACGTACTAAACTAATTAGAATAGAATATGTCAGAGTAGAGCAATAGTGTGGTTGGAGCCTCAGCAACCAGCCGATCAATGCAAAAGCAGTGCAGCAAAGTGCAGCTTCATACGACTCTGCTGGGCAAATGCGCCATTCTAGCGGTGAACGAGACTGTTGGCGATAGCTTCACAAAGTGAGCAAATGCTTACAGACGAGACGCAGCCGGAGGCCGAGATAACAGCGGTGCGGCAGACACTGTTCGTGATTTTGCACTGAGCGCAAGGTTGGACAGACCCTGAGCTGTAGTAGCTGGAGGAAGCACACTTTTGCATGCCAGTTGTCCTCGAAGATCACGAGTGCCGTGGGCTTTGGCTTCCCAGATCTGCTTCTAGCTTCGCTTGCCGAAGTGCAAATATCCCATTGGAGCTGACATCAAGTTGTCCCACAAGATCTCAAAAGTACGCGACACGTTTGGACAAGGCGGAATGTGTGGGAAGATCTCCACCCTGTGCGACCCGTCCGCCAAGTGAACCCCTGCAGACAGTTGCCACGAACCAAACCATAATTACCCTCTTCAGCTCCTACCGACATAGAAATGCTTCGCCGCCGTGGAATCCTGCCATGAACCAGCGATCTGCATGCTCCAGTGCTTGTCGATGCAGTTGGCATGGCTTACGGCGAAACAGGCAGATGCTTTTACCTGTTGTTACGAGTCATGGAAGGGCAGGTGAGTGCACAAAGCACGTCCTTGCAGAGCAGGTTGTGTCGTGAGCCAGCTGCTAGACGCGTTTCTGCAGATTTCCACCATAGCTCAAGGCTCAAGGCAAGACTGCCCTAAGCGACCCTTGTTTTCGCTACCTCGGTGCCTGCCATGTCGTTCATTGCGCAAGGGGGGGTCCAGCATCCTGGCCTGATGTCTTCGATGTGGGTGTTACCCGAACAGGAGTGAGTGGGGGTCCTTGCTTCTTGGAGTGTACAGGAAGGTCCCATATTATATTTTTTTGAACTCCTGGAGGCTCGCATAGGAGCTGCACTAGTTCAGGTACACCCTGCCTTCCGGATGCCGGACACCAACCCCGCCAGCAATGCTCGACGGCTTGTACCCCTACGCCTTCGACATGACTCAGACCGATGGCCCCACGGCAAGTCTCAAGAGCCCAAGGATGCTGATAAATGGGTAGTTGTCAAAATTATGGTCCCTTTTTGGGTCCTTATTATACTACGGCACCTATTATTTAGGGCACCCCAACATAATTTTGACAACTACCCAAATGGTGGTCTGGTTGAGGGGAGGAGCAGGTTTCTCACGGCAGCTCAGCTCACCGTAGTATCACATCAGTGCCTTGTGCCCAGGTTCCAAGACTCCAACCGACCATGCCCTGTTTGCGGACATGGCCAACCTCCGCGAGAGGCTCATGCAGCTGCAGGCCTTGGCATCCTAGCGGCTCAGATTGTCACGGCCGGTCTTACTACCGATGATGGGCCAGCAGGTTTAGTTACTGTTTTCTGATGAGCTAGCAGATGCAAGTAGGTGCGTTGTCAGAGCATTGCAGGCGCCTAAGTACTCCTAGGGCTTGGGTCGAGGTTGCTCGTGTCGGTCTTCGGGGTGGAGTTTAGTGAGGCGCATAAGCGTCTTTTTTCTTTCTGGCCGACGTGCTTGGAGTCTTCTCCATTCGGAGGCTGAGGGCAACAAGCTGCAGGGCAAAGTGAATGAGGACAAGGCTTGTGCTTCCATTTGTCCATGACCTCTGCCCGCTGAAGGATCAAGGTCACAGGATGTACAGGGGACCCTAAGCCAGCCTCGTTGACAGCGCACCGTGGCTCAGTTGGCGGCATCACCGCTGTACGTGCCCATCAAGACACCGTTCTCCTATGCTCAGGCAGGGCGCTGGGCAAATCACGGCAAAGCCATGCTACCGGCTCTCTCAAACGCATGTCGTGCTGAATGCATTAATCGATGTATGATATGTGATATGTATGTGAGGGACTGTGGGGCCCGTAAAGCGTTTTTTGTTTTCTCGAGTTCGACCTGATCGCAGCAAGTGGTCTTGACCGGTCTGCACGAGTGTGCTTGCACCACCGGTGGTAATCATTAATTTCGTCCGTCTTTGGACACGGAAGCGGCATGATAACATTATATAACATTCACATATTGCCTCTCCACCTCGCCGGAGCAGTCAGTCCTTGCTCCCCGTCTCTTTGATAGCTTGTCTTGCTATGTCTTTGTATCTCCCTCTCCCGCTCTATCTGTCTCTATCTGCCTCCCTCCCTCTTCCGCTCCGCTTCGCAGGCACACCCTTGCATGTTCGGGCTCAGCGCCAACATGTGCATGCTCGGTCCAGGTGGATGAGCCGCCGATGTTCGCGTCGATGTTTGAGTCAGGAGCTGGGATGCGCTAATCCATACACCTGCGGGCAGGGTCATAGTGAGTCGCGATTCATCCGCTCGTGTGCGTCTCGTTTGGTGTTCCCTTCTGTCCAGTGTAGAGCTGTGCACCCCCTGCAGCGGCATTGCCAACCCGAGCAGGGACAGGTGGCAGCTGCCCTGCACAGCCCTCTGTCTGTGTTGCAGGAGTGATCCAGCTTCCACCGGGCCTTGTGAACGAACTCCAGGCGGGAGGGATGCTGCGAGGTTTCTGCGCCAGAGTCAGGCATGAAGGGGAGTTGAAGAAGTAGCATCTTTCTTGTCTCGTTGTGGCGCTCACTCTACGCCAGGTTCCACCTGTCCAGGGCGATGCAGGCTGTGGTGGCTCGTTTGTCAGTTAGGGAGCTCCGGCCTCAAGGCAGTTTCGCTAGATCCAGTTATTCGCGACTCTTTTCCGTTGGCCTATGTAGGTAGGCCCATGAAAATGGGCATGTACACATTTGGTGTTCTTTCTGCTTGAGTCTTGGCCAGAGCGGAGTAATTGCCAAGAAAAATGGACATTATAAGACTCACCTTTCCAGGTTTCAATACTTGTGGGTTCCCGACGTCGTGCAATAACGACCGGCATCGATGCGCACTCGTTGGGCAGGCCTTCCGCCGCCTCCAGCACCTCATGCCGTGCCAAGGCCCCAGAAGGACTGAGGAAGCAGGGGATCGGTTCAACACGGCACCGGCAATGTACCGTACTGGGGTGGTGGGAGCTCTTGCTTTGTCATCTTGTTGTGCGACCTGCCGTTAAATTATTGCAGCCTTCCTCGTGGTATCCATCCATACCTATCCCCAACTACGAACACCAAGCCTCCAGACTCCCAACCCGAGCCTGCTTCTTTACGAAGACTTTATTTTGGAACATGTCAGGCTTTGCTATGCGTGACCTTCAGCTTTGCAAGATTTTGCTTCATTTCGATGCTCAGGATTCGTAGATGCTGGTAGTTTAGGGTTGCTGTGCGACTTAGTGTTAGTGGTACTTGTGCCAGGAGTCCAAAGCGCCGGCAGCTGCCCCCACGGGCTCCTCGGGACACATCGTGTCCATCGGCTCGGCGTCTTGGCTCTGGGACGTTTGGGATCTCTATCTCTGGAGCACGGGGCTTGGAGCTGCCTCCATGTCTCTTCGAAAACGCCTTGCCAGGTGGGCCATCCCTTCACATGTGCCGAAGCCTGCAAGTACGTGAAGCGCAAAGGCGCCGCCAGCTTGGCGTGAAGACAAGGCCAGGCGCACGCGTCTCCAAGAGATTCAGAGAGTCTCCGGAGGTGGCTGCCGCGATGGCTCCCAGTGCACCAAGTGCCACGAATGCTTTTGGAGCCGTGTGCCTGCAGGACCCAATGTTGGCCGGGCCTAATCGTTAGGGCGGCATGGCCGGAGATTGGCCGCGAAGTCAAGCAAAAGTTTCATCGTGCATCTTTCAACACGATAGTGCCTCATACAAGCGGTTCGGGGATTGCCAGAAAGTCTGCAGTCTGCAGCTCTGCCTTCAACTGGGTCGGCTTCATCGCCCACTTGGACTTGTCTGTCTGGTCAGGAGGAGAGAGGGAGGAAGAGCCGAAGCCGGTTGAAAGTGTGGAGACTGTGCCGCCCGGAAGGCAAAAAAAGTGAATGCCTGACCCGGAACCCTGTGTGGCTGCCACTTGTAGCCCATCTTTAGCCTTCTTCGGATCTCACGTCTAAGATGTCTAAGGCCGGTGGAGACTCAGCCTTTCTCTTGCGGCTCTGTGGGACATCCGTACACCTGCGCCAAAGCCTGCAAGTACGTCTGGCGAAAGCGAGGCTGCCGAGATGGTGCGAACTGCCCCAACTGCCATTATTGCAAGTGGCAGCGGAAGCCCAAGGATGAGGAAGAGGAAGAGGAGGAGAAGGAGGAATCGACCCAGACCTCGAAGACTTCGCAAAGCTCTGTGGCGCTCTTCGAGGGCATTCCTCCTCCACCGGGGCTCGAGCTGCCTTCCGCCTTGCCTGACACAGAGCTCCAGAAGCTCGGCTGAATTTCCAGGAATCTTCAGAATTTCAAGGAATCCCTGAAGCTCTGAAGCTGGCATCGTGCACGGGGCCTTTGGACCGTCTTCCTTTTGTCACACTCCATTATTTGAGTACGGCATAGCCGTTGGGTGAGTACTGTACGCAGGTTCCCACGACCCACGCAAACAGATGGTGTGAGAAGATGACCTTGGAGCTTTACTGAAACACCCACCCATCTAAAGCATGACAATGAGGCCGTTTGACGTTCGTAATGGTGATGATGAGGAGGTGAACTATGATGGTGGGTGATGGTGATGGAGCACGACGGGGTTACTAGATGTTACTAGTAGGACTACTCGTAGTAGCAGGAATAATGGTCGCACCGGCATAGTACATAGTACCGACTGTTGTGTTTGTTGTCGTGTGCTACTCTTGTTGTCTTATATAACTTGGTCTTGTTGTCATTACTGCGTCTGTTAGTATCATTATCATTGCCACTACACGTTGTACAATGTTGTAGACTTGTGTTTTTTGTAGTATTT